ACTTTTCGAATCGTTCGTAGCCCTACGAACATCTTAAGCTCATTCTTAACACATGGCTACGATCTTTCGAAAACCTAGGCCATGGAATACAAAATCACTGCTTTTGCCTTCGCTGGAATATTCTTAAAGAATATCGCAAAAACATGTATGTCGTTCCTCACGCCCTTTCTTAATTCCTTCGGTTTTTCAATGTGAATGTATCCCCCTTTCGTTACATTTCATCCGCTCAATTATTCCTTCCGTTGGCTTCTGTGGTAGCCTCGTAGTTCGCTCCTTGAAGGCCGACCTTCTTGCCGACAGGGGCGGTGGGGTAGCCTAGTGGTTAAAGCGTTGGCTCGTCACGCCGAAGACCCGGGTTCAAATCCCGACAGTGGTACATTGTGTGAAGCCCATTTCTGGTGTCCCCCGCCTTGATGTTGCTGGAATATTGCTAAAAGCGGCGTAAAACCAAACTCAGTCCGTCAGTCAGTCTTTCCGACAGACTCACTGACTTGAACTACCCAGACCATGTGTCAGAGTTGCTTCATCTTGGCTGAACATTCAGATAACTAAAATGGATGAATCATTATGATTTATGAATCATTACAATTTTCAAATGTTACCTACCTATTTGACTTATGTAATATACAAATATATATTGTGTGAGATTTATGAAATATGTATACAAATATGTTATATTGTGTGACATATGATACATACATGTTGTTATATTGACTAAATAAATATATTGTCTACTATATATATCACACTCTGTTTTAATTGGTTTGTTAATTTCGAGAACACTGGGCGTGAAGTCACTCATGTAAACATCATCTCCCTTTCCCCGGACTGTCGACAAGTAATTTGGACGGATTATTTGTTGTTGTCGACAGTCCGGGTATAAATCTTTAAAGGTTGGTTGTTTTGTTGTTTTACGCCGCACTCAGCATTATCCCAGCTATATAGCGGTGGTCTGTAAATATTCTAGTCTGGATCAGATAATCCAGTGATCGACAGCATGAACATTGATCTACGCAATTGGGATACGATGGTATGTGTCAACCAAGTCAGCGAGCCTGACCACCCGATTAGTCGCCTGTTACGACAAGCATGGGCTGCTGAAGACCACATCTAATAACCCGATCTTCACGGGTTGTAGTTGAAGGGTTTGCTCAGCATGGGGTTCTGTGTGTTAAGCCCATTTATGGTGACCCTGCTGTGATATGGCTTGGATGTTTGTAAAGGTGGCGTAAAAACACTCTCACTCTTCTTACCGTTATCAATCATTCGTGATTCCCTTATCGACGTACATACTGTTTCCATACTTTTCTCTCATTCCTTCTTTTTACACTCATTCGTTCAATCACGAATTCAATATCCGTTCCTTAGATATTCTTTACACTTCTTTCTTCCTCCTGTTATCAATCATCCATGTGCTTATTCCTTCCATCAATCATTCTTGTGCTTATTCCTTCCATCAATCATTCTTGTGATTATTCCTTCCATCAACCATTCATGTGATTATTCCTTCCATCAATCATTCATGTGATTATTCCTTCCATCAACCATTCTTGTGATTATTCCTTCCATCAACCATTCATGTGATTATTCCTTCCATCAACCATTCATGTGATTATTCCTTCCATCAACCATTCATGTGCGTGTGCTTATTCCTTCCATCAACCATTCATGTGCTTCATGTGCTCCTTCCATCAATCATTCTTGTGCTTATTCATTCCATCAACCATTCATGTGATTATTCCTTCCATCAACCATTCATGTGATTATTCCTTCCATCAACCATTCATGTGCTTATTCCTTCCATCAATCATTCATGTGCTTATTCCTTCCATCAACCATTCATGTGATTATTCCTTCCATCAATCATTCATGTGCTTATTCCTTCCATCAACCATTCATGTGATTATTCCTTCCATCAACCATACATGTGCTTATTCCTTCCATCAACTATTCATGTGATTATTCCTTCCATCAACCATTCATGTGATTATTCCTTCCATCAACCATTCATGTGATTATTCCTTCCATCAACCATTCATGTGATTATTCCTTCCATCAATCATTCATGTGCTTATTCCTTCCATCAATCATTCATGTGCTTATTCAATCATCATTCATTTCATGACGAAGATAAAACTTTCCTGTTTTTCTCCGTCATCATTCATTCGTTTATTACATTTTCATAGTTCCCTCATGTATGATGTTCCCCGGTTTTCCGGCGGGGTAGCCTAGTGGTTAGAGCGTTCGCTCGTCACGCCGAAGACCCGGGTTCGATTCTCCACATGTGTGAAGCCCATATCTGGTGTCCCCCGCCATGATATTGCTGGAATATTGCTAAAGGCAACGTAAAATCATGCTCTCTCACTCACTCTTAAATCATTTCATGTTGTAGATACTTTTAACCGATTTATTCCTTCCTTCTCCCTTCCGTCAGTACTTCATATATTTTCATTCAAGCGCTAATAAGACCCCCGTGTCCGTTGTTCCAGTCAACCACACACACCGTTCCCTCAAGCTGAATGGAGGAATTCCTGTACATAATAAACCAACAGCTTCCCGTGGAGTGCCGTCTCAATGCCTTCTATAAGCAGAAGCTTCTCTAGCTATGTACACACACACCTATACGTGTCCCTAATGAAATACTTAATGCAATGCTAGAGCAATAAACACCAACGTTCTACTACAACAGTAACCATGTTTCAAGCTTTACATGAGCTTAGTCACCGATGTAATTATAGTTTGATGCATTCCACGCAAGCTTGGACTGCATTGTACTACTACAATTTCAAACTATAAATACTGTTGAATATATCTAGTATAACCGGCCAGTTGATATACCTTGTGTTGACGGCGCGGTGGCGAATGCCTCCAGTATGTAGAGTCCACGAGAGGAGGGCATTCCTGAGAGTAATGCTGTACTATAGGGTTTGAACCTGTTAACAATGAGAGGTGACTCAGTGCTGGCGTTAAAGCCACCGTCCCCTAGTATACTGCAACACTGACGGCAGATGTCCCAACACGGATGTGTTTACCTTCCGCTGCGGTGTTTTATGTCTTGTAAATATTCGACATGTCTGCATAAATTACGATTTTGTATCAGTGCGTGGTTTACGCTATGTTGAATGTGACTTAAAACACTCACTTTATATATTCGTTAATACAGTTGTCCGCACTATTCACGGCGCTATTGGCGGAATGTATGCATTAATATCTGGCTCGTGTTTCACCATTGGAAGAATCTGGCGTGTTGTAGAATACAATACTGAGTTGAAGCTTAGTGTTTTGTTTCTAGATGTATTGTTCGTGCGTTGTTTTGTGAAATATTGCTCAGTTTTGTGCGAGAAGTGCATTCATAGCGCTACAGTTTTTCCCGATTATTTCAGGCACGACTACCACACCACCACCACTATGACGACGACGACCACGACGACTACTACTACTACTTCTACACAATTACTATTATTGCGGATCAGGCGGTCAGGTTGATGATGCACGATCGCTTAGATCGATGCTCATGACTTCAACCCCTGGATTATCGGGTTCAGACTCGATTAGTTATATACAGACGGTTGTCATATAGCTGGGGTATGCCGAGTCTGACATTAAACAAAACAACAACAAACTACTACTACTACTACTACTACCACTACTACTACCACTACTACTACTACTACTACTACCACTACTACTACTACTACTACTACAACAACAACAAGAAGGGGCGGTGGGGTGGCCTAGTGGTTAAAGCGTTCGCTCGTCACGCCAAGGGTTCGATTCCACACATGCGTACAATGTGTGAAGACATTCCTGGTGTCCGCCGTGATATTGCTGGAATATTGCTAAAGCGGCGTAAAACCATATTCACTCACTTCTACTACTACTGCTACGACGACGACTACTACCACAAGACCCGCAAAGAGCCGGGTTAGAATTTGTCTAGACATTCAAAAAACGCCGTCATACAGCTGGGAAATTGCTGAGTATTCCGTCAGTAGAATATTACAGAACAATCAAACAGATTCCGCTTTGAAACAGATCGCATAATCTTTATGATGTTCGTAAGCGCCATGCATTGAAAGCGTCGTTACGTATTCACATCCTTAATGCGTATACAATCCGAGCTCTTAACTCAGGATGGAAATAGTCACTGGTTTCCATTCAAAATGCTATTACCATAAACAAAAACACGATAAAAATACATCCGTGTACATGCATGACTAGCGCCTCACTGCACACTGGCTGAGACAGACAATGCATTGGAATTCCTGAATATATTAATGTTATCTATTTAGTGACTAAATATTTCCACTATTTGTCTATGGTCGAGTGCGCAGGTGCTTTAAATATAATCCAACAGCCTTGTTGTAAACAACATACCGGTCGAGTGTTTACTATTGTACTTACCTAGACATACCATCGAGCTTGTATGGTAATACCAGTATGAATAAACAAGGCTAAAAAGACCATACATAGGACATTAAAAAACCAAACACACTCAAATTCACACAATAACACGAATGTGATAATTGTAGCCAATACTTAGTTGTTCTCGGATAAATGCAGTTATAGAATCTGACTTTCCAGTTTTAGAATCTGACACGTTACAACCCTCTTGGTTGTTTGAATGGATCCACTTTGAATAATACTTGTGAAAGAACGACTCGTGTACTTAAAATCGGCCAATCTTGCTTAGTAGGGGGCATTTCTACATTGCCAACTCGAACTTATATCCGATACGATTATGCATGCTTTCTTCCCTGGAATGCTGGTGTTGTACGTTTATTGACAAAATGCTATCTCCGATCGAATTCCACCGAAAGCATGTTATTATTTTCCATATTGTTTATGAGTTTTCTAGTGATGAAATACTTTCCCCCTGTTAACCCACATAGAAATGTTTTGCTATTTAGATATGCATTCCGATCTCGCGAATAGATCTATTGTCTCCTCTCATTGGCTGTCAGCATCACGTGACGTATGTTAATATCCCCAGTCAAAATGGTGGACAGTACTGTGAGAAGTGTCGGGAGACGATAGCGAATTTTACTGATGAACTATGCCAAAGGGCCGTAATGGAGAGATCCTCCTTCCCGACGGATGGGAAGAGGCGATAGATTATGATGGAAAAGTGTTTTATATTGATCATAATAATGGCCAAACAACTTGGATCGACCCGCGAGATAGGTGAGTCTAACGCCTGACATGGTGCACTCTGTCAAGAGAGCGAGGGACAGAGTCAGACCGTTGACTTTTCCATCGGCTGTCTATACTATGTGGAAGTGGTTTTACGTCGAAGGAAGCATGTATCTTCAAAGTGCATATAATGGACTATTTATTTTGTGTTTCATTCAGTGTGTAAAATATGTGATGATTCTTCGCGAGCCAACATTCCATTCTGTTTGAGCTAATCCCGAGAGACGTGGGGTTCGAGGTGGGAAATACAAACGGCACTCAACTATCCGATCTCGACCCGGTCAGTCGGTAAATTTCGTTTACAAGTACTCCTCACGGAATACAGTGGTATATGTAGGGATGGACTTTCACTTATACACAATTAATTGTGTTGTTTATCGCATCAATACACATGTTGCTTATTGTAACGACCAATGCTACATTCACACCTAGGCGCGCGTTTTACATGAAGGCTGTCGGGGCGGGTATAAAAGTCATTGGGATGTGACAGATGACGAGTGTTTCTCTCTGAGTTTACTCACACATTGTTGCCATCATTAGTTACTTACAGATTATGCTATTCATGTTTGATTGTGACATTGCCATAGTCAAGTGCTACATATTTCTACTATGTAAATAGTGGGTCGATGATAACGAAATATTATTGTGCCACTGAACCGCTATTGCTGTAATGTTTAGATTCAACAGGTTGTGTTTTGTTCAGTACTGTTTTTGTATTTAATATAGACCCATAATATAATAGCTGGAATATGAAAATATCATTATACTTCAAGACTAGAATGCACTTTACCGGGTGCAGCCCTCGCTGCTCCCTTTACGATCCTTAGGGTTTAGGGTATGCCACCCTTTACGATCCTTAGGGTTAGGGTTTAGGGTTAGGCACCCTTTACGATCCTTAGGGTTTAGGGTTAGGCACCCTTTACGATCCTTAGGGTTAGGGAACCGCAGCAGCGCTAATTAATCTGAAAAAGTGCGCCTGGTAAAGTGCAGTACTCCCTTCTTCAATATTTGTTTTCTCATCCATTTCAATGTTATACTTATATGATAACCATTGTCTAGTATATAAAATGTTGAACATTTTTTACAATTTTCAAACAATACTATATATAGTGACTATGGGAAAATAGGAACTAGTGACAATACTGTTACACTATGGGAAATAACCATTTGATATGGGTTCCCCTTTCAAGTGTATTATTTCACAAATTAAGTGTTTATGGCAACAATGAAACACTTTTGAAACAGGAAAGTAATGCTATCCGGTGAACAGTAGAAACTAGGCTACATTGCACACTACAAAGCTGACCCCTCCCCTCTTCAGACCAATTTCCTTTCTCCAACTTCCTATGTTGTGAGCCTGTCAAGAGTCGTGCTACAATGAAAGTAGAACGCTCTCGAGAATGTCCCGATACGTATTGTGAAATGCTTTAGACAGTGTTAATTTTAATTAATGTTGGAATGTGTTCAGCTTTTCATATTCTGTTTGTGAAAACTGTGTTTTCAACATCCTTGCCGGTGACAATGGCTTCGTTTCACTGAGGTGTAAAGACTGATATTCCTTCCCAAATAGCTTGATTTAATTACCAGTATGCCTGTCTCAAGAATGTACAATATGCGTGTAAAATAGCTTTCCCCCTTAGGCTCAATTTTGAAACTGTTCAACCAGAACAATTGAGTCCAACACGATAAGAGCTTTGTGATTTTCAAGTGCTGTCGTTTCAGATATTTAAAATACTCACCCATATATCTGTATTGCCACTACATTTTTGTGTCAGTTCTCAGGACAATAATTGATTAAACTATAGAACACTTCAATCTTGAAAAGTCAATTTTATGCATTGTTTATTTTATGATTTGAAAATTTGAAAATAATAGTGTTGTGTTAGTAATAATCATTTATTATGCAGTTTCCAGTATTTTCACACAGCCTTTAAGTTAATGTAAGTACATTATTGTTCACTGGCGTGTAAATAATCAACTAGCAGCCAGATAAACCAGTTGTCAATGGTATGAGCATCTATCCACTCATCTGGTAAGGTTACCTACATTCAGCCATAATCAATGTCCCCATAACATAGACCTCTTTCTTACCTTGGAGCACAGCTTAAAAAACACAACATATTAATATAACATATATTTATAACATTGTGTAGTAGTAGATAGATTGGAAAGACTTATTATGACAGTATTTACAAAGTAGGTGCAACAGAAACTTGAGCTGAGGTGATAGTACTCTTTAATATCAAGATTAGTGCCATTATTAGTTTGACAGTGATGTTTAATCAGTATGTTGAAGTAGGGGGTTAAAGTTGGACTATTCACAGTTCAGACAGGGTCATTGTGAAACAATAAACATGATCAGTATGTTTTTTCATAGCAGTTTCTAATTGAGGCTGAATATATTCATAAATATTTTTGATGCGTTAGATTTCAAGGGATGTTTGTTTCATACCGTTTCCACACAACTAACACCATGGTTATGATGTTGATCTGTGATCGTTTAATGAATGGAGGTGTGTCATCTAATTGGTTCAAATTTATCTTGAATGGGTTTGGATCTTGGAAAACTTTAGAGTACTTTTCATTGATTGAATATTTTCTAAAATACAATACCTATACACCTTTCTCATATCAAGCTTGCTAAGTCCTGAACAGAACAAATTATATCAGATACCTGCCTGCCATATTTAATTAGGTCAAATGATGCGAACTGCAGAAAGGTGAAAAAATATATAACTGAGATTAAAATAACCCTAATCCTAACCTAAACCAAACCCCTAACCTAACCCTAATTTTTTCACTCCACGTTCTGCCAGGGTAGTTGTCACAGAAGCAGATGACGTTAACTGTTTCTTGACGTTACAGTGTTCCAGAGTGATGTCATGTTCATCTCATAAAGTTCATCATAGAATGTACTACAGAATATTAATGATAACTTTTGTAGTGTAGATGTCAGTGCATAATGTTCCATAGGCTCCTGATGATATTGCCAGTCATCAAATACTTGGTAACACCCACAAGTCTTGAAAAAGCTATGTTTATCTAAATGGCCATACATTTCATGTTATCAGTATTATACAGGTACACGTTTCAAGCTGGCAGTTCTCTTTATTTTGTCCTTACTGATAATATTGGCTTAAAACAATCATCTACATTGAGTGAGCTAATACTATCAAGGCGATTTTCCATGTTACTAGTTATCCCTGGAAAATGTCAGTAAACATTTTCTAAATTTTGAGTCCATAATTTTAGGTTGTGATAATTGTATTCCAGTGTTAAAGTTTGTTTTACAAACATACACATATGTCACTCATTACAAATGCAGTGAAGAGGTAAAAACTTTAAGAACTTGTTTGCGATAATTTGATCAACAATAATACTTGTATAGTGCAAAAGTTTAGATAGAATTTAAAAAATTATGAAAGCATTTCAGGGCAAAGAACCATTCTTCCTATTTTTCCATCCATCGGCAGCTAGCTGGAATTCCTAGAGAAATCCCGGATCCTTGAACTAAATGCAGTTTTGTCCAGAGTGTGCTATGCTTAAAATGCTTTGTTTAATAAGACTTGAAAACAATCATCTGACAATCATACCATTGAGTATCACAGCAAATACAATCATTCCATTATGTTAGGGTCCATAATTCCAAAGTGCAATTATTTCATTAGCAAGCTCCAAATGTCATATGGGAACTGTTCTGGTCTGTGAGAATACAGCTGTTTGAATTAACCCTCCACTCATCACATAGCCATTAACACTTGGGCCCCAACTCAATGACTGGCTGTTTATGTTATTACATCATCAGGTGTGACCAGTAATTAGTACTAATTGGTATTTGATGAGGCCTAATTAGCAGGTAGCTTGTTACATGGGACAGTTGGTCAATAGAGCTCAGCATAATTTTGTCGTGGCGATTTGTAGTTGTTTGAACATTTATTATATTTTGAAGAGTCTGAATTATATATGCTTTATCCAGATCATGGGACAGAGGAGTTGCCTGTTGGTTAATTTGAATGATCCTGTTGAAGATTTGGGTTTGCATACCCTCCAAGGTTCAATGTGTGAAGCCCATTTCATTGCCCCAGCTGTGATCTTGTTGGAATATTGCTAAAGTCTAAAACTTAACTCATCCACTTGCTTATTCTAATACTAACTAGTGGGAAGCCCATTTCTGGTGTCCCCTGCCGTGATATTGCTGAAATATTGCTAAAAGCGGCGTAAAACATAATCACTCACTAACTAGTGATTCTACTTTAGTACATTATTTGCTAAGGCATTCCAGAAACTTGTGATAGTGAGTTTGAATCCTGTTCTCCTTATTACGTTTCATGGTTTGTAGATCCCATACCTATTTGTGGCTTTGAACTTTAATTTGTGGTGTGACCGTCTGAGACCTGGTTCACCTCAGGGTTTCCTCCCACAACAAGCTAGCATGCCATGATAGACCTGAAATACTATTCAATGCTGTACTCGCTTTGTACTGTATCGTTAAACATGAATGAATAGCTCAGATGATTTATTGAAAACTTTGTGTTACACTACAGAGAGCATATCCTAGTTAAATCATGGCTGCCTGTAGTCAATGGGAAATATTTGCATGACACGCAATCAAGCAAGTCACCAAGCCTGACCACCCAATCTTATTATGTCACCTCTTGCAACAGGCAAGTGCTTGGGATCTGTTCTAAGCCCTGAAACCCATTAGGTGCGAAAAACTACTTACAAGTTGTTGAAAACATTTGTGTTCCAAATGAAATATTGCTGGGTCCAATTACCAGAAACGATGGTGGACAAACGTCTGCTAGTTAAGTGGAGTAAGCAGTATGCCTCTATTATTAGTGTGTCTCTATTCCCTTTTAATGGTTGTAGTTGCAGGTGAAGATTGTAGAGAGATAGAATTCTTTGCCGCATATCAGCCATTGCTTGAAACATTTGTTATTAAACTTACAATCAAAATGCAGTCTCACTCCCAAGGGAAAGATTTCAGCTTG